TGTGTGTTGAATTAATTGCTGGGAGATGGGTGCGCTCTCAGCTTCCAGGGCTGCTGTGACCCTCTCTCCTTCCAATGGCCTAACAACCAACTGAGAAATTATTCCTCCAAACTACAGTTTAGGGGATAACGATATTTATTGGGCTTACTAACAGAGCATATCATGGTAAGAGGTACCTCCAAAGGTATAGACACCCTTGGGCTTTTTTCCCTGCATGTCAGCTGAGTCTTCCATATCTGCAACTGCCGGCCCAAGAGGGCAAAGCACACCCTTCCCCTCTGGCTTCCTAGGAGTCTCTCCTTAGTCCCTCCCCCTCATGCAGTTAAGGCTGATTGATTGATTGGTCTCCCTCTGACCCTCCCATCCTATGGAGAGTCTTAGGGTTCAAACAGTTTGCAGTCAGTGGGGAAGGGGGAAACTAGAGAAGAAGATATCTATCTGTTACTGGTCATTCAGAGGATATGCCTATCTATTTATCTATCATCTATCTATCTATCTATCATCTATCTATCTCTCTATCGTCTATCTATCTATCTATCTATCTATCTAATCTATCTCTCTATCATCTATCTATCATCTATTTATCATCTATGTATCTCTATCATCTATCTATCTATCTATGTATCTCTATCATCTATCTATCTATCTATCTATCATCTATCTATCTATCTATCTATCTATCATCTATCTATCTATCATCTATCTATCATCTATCACCATCATCTATCAGCATCTATATCTATATCAGGGTCTCCCTAGTCGCAGCTTGTCTGGAACTCATTATGTATGCCAGGCTGGCCTTGATCCCACATGGATCCACCTTCTGAATGCTGAGATTAAAGGAATACACCACTATACCTGGCATTTACTTCACATATTTTTATAAGATAATGTTCCATATAGTTAAATGTAGTTTTGTCAAATGTGTATAGCTATATAGCAATCACTCAGTCAAGATAGTAAAAATTTTATCACACTGGGATGTTCTCTTGAACCTTTTCTTATTCAGTCCCTGTCTTCCAAAGGTGAATATTGTACTGACTGCTATTACCATGGATTACTGTTCATTAGTTTTGAATTTCATGAACAAAACCACACAGTGTGCATATTTTTGTGTCCTGTTTCCTTCAATTAACACTATATCTTTTAATTCATTGATGTTGCATCAGTAGCTTGTTGAGGGATGTTTACTTGTGAATTTTATGAGTTTTTGTCTCTTCTCCTTTGGGTGAATATTGGGTTAATTCTAGTTTGATGCTATTTTTAATGTATATTTTTAAATTGAGTTTTTGTGGATTTCATACAATACATCTTAATCATATTTAGACCCTCTTCCCTATATGCACCCCCAATATCCCCCCAACAGGATTTCATGTATTTGGTCATGTAAAGTCATATTGAGCCAAGTTTGTGTGCCCAGATGTCCCTTGGTATGAGTTCATTCACTGGAGCCTGGTTAGCATCAGCCCTTTAGAGAAGATCAACACTTCCTCATCCAGCAGTGATTGGCTACCAATTGTACCTTGACTAAGGTTAGGGCCTCCTGCCATTTCCCCAGTTCTATGCAGTTTTTTTTTATCTGATTGACTTTGCGTGAGTATTGTACATGCTGTCCCCATTGCTGTACAGTTTAATGCTATTTTGAATAAAGCTTCTAGAACATTCTTGCAGACATATTTTTGTAGATATATATTTTTTTCTTTGGGGGGTCAATGCCTAATTGTAGCATTATTGAGCAGTGAATAGGTATATATTTCTTTCTCCGAGAAACTACTAGGAGCTGGAGAGATGGCTTAGTGATTAAGAGTGCTTCTTGCTCTTCCAAAGGACCTGAGCTCAGTTCCCAACACCCACGCTTGATGGCTCTCAACTGCTTATAATTCCAGCTCCAGGGGACTCGACAACCTTTTCTGACTTCTGCAGACATGTGCACACCCATACATATGTGACATATATTCACACAAACACACATACGTACACATAAATAAAAAATAAATCTTAAAAAAATGAAGCTACCAGATCATTCTTTCCCAAAGGACTTGTAGCTTTTCATCACTATAGCAAATGCCTCTGATAAACAGCTTAAAAGGAAGAAAGGTTTACTTTGGTTCACGAGTGCAGAGAGTTCAGTTCACGATCAATTGTTTCTAACACTATGAACCTGATATAAGGCAGAACATCATGGCAGGAAGTAAGGGGCAGAGAAAAGGAAAAAGCTGCTCACTTCATGGTGGTCAGGAAGCAGAAAATGAGGAGCGAGCCAGGGTGCCAATAGTTTTTTCAAGTACATACCATCAGGGACCTAACTTCCTTATATTAGGCCACAAGGCCCATACCTCCTAAAGTTTCCACTGGCTTCCAATATTACCATCAACTGTGGACCAAACCTTCAACACATAAATCTCATTATTTATTTATTTATTTATTTTTATTTATTTTGTGTAGGAATGTTTTTGCCTGCATGTATGTAAGTACACTGTGTGTGTGCAGTGCCTGTGAAGGCCAGAAGAGGGTGACAGATCTCCTAGAATTGGAGTTATAGATGATTGTTAGTCACCATATTGCTGCTGGGAACTGAACCTGCAAGAGCAGCCAGTGCTCTTAATTGCTGAGCCATCTCTCTAGCCCCCCAACACATAAATCTTTAGGGGACATTTAATATCATATCACAATGGGAGTTATATCATTTTATGGCATCATCAATAATGGATGAGTAGTTTATTCACTCCATGTTTTCTCCATTTTGTCTTGTTAGATTATGATTTTAAAGATTTTACTCTTTGTATAGAGTTGAAGTTTGATTTGTACTTTCTTACTTTATGTACATGAGTGTTTTACCTGCATGTGTGTAAGTGCTCTACATGCAGATAGTGCCCATATTGACCTGAGACAGTGTCAGATCCCTTGGAACTGGAGTAGTAACAACTGTGAGGTTCCATGAGGCTGCTTGGAACCAAACCTGGGTCCTTTGCAAGAGCAGACAGTTCTCTTAATCTCTGAGCCATGCCTCTAGCCCCTCATGTATTTTCTTTACCCATGCATCTATTGAAAGACATCTAGCATGATTCTATTTCATGGATATTGTGGATAGTACAGCAATAAACTTGGATTAAACCAACTTTGAGCAGACAAGAGAGGGGAAATCTACATTCAAGCATGCCTTTCTACTAGACTCTCTTACATGCCAGGCCACTTAATTTTTTTTTAGAATACCAAGAACAACAAAAGTAAGAAGAAATATTACTGTATTGCTATCATTTTCTCTTTTCAAAATATATTTACTTTATTTATGTAGGTGTGTGCATCTGCACACACATGCAGGTGTCTACAGAGACTAGAAAGAGGACCACAGATCCCCTTGGAGCTGGAGTTACAGGCAGTTGTGGGACACCTGACCTGGGAACTAAGAACCAAACTCAGGTCAGTTGCAAGAGCAGCCAGCCCTCTAAACTTCCGGGCCATCTCTCTAGTCCCATACAGCTTATGTTTTAATTCACCTATGTTCTCAGTTTTTCTTAAAATGTCGACAGTTAGAGTTAAGAAGAACATTTAATGAGTTCACAGAGATAAATAAATTATAGGCATTTATGCTATGCCACAGACATAAAATTTATTAGGAAGATCATGAAGAAATTCCTTAATTTGCAGAAAGATACCACCCAAGACTGGAGACAGAATTCCCAAACACACAAAGAAAGGCACACATTCAGATGAAGATGCAACCTTCAGAAGCTGTGGGACATCCATTATCCAAACCACACTTGGCTAGAGCTAACAGCTGCATTGCCAAAGTCTCTTGGTTTCTTTCTGTTCTGATGCAGGGTGGCTATTGTTAATGACAGTGTCATCCAGTTCCAACTTCTAAAACTAATTGCAGGTTTTGCTAGGTAGATGTTAAGGCTTCTGTGTTGACTCTTCAGTGACAGGCACTGAGCAAAGGAGCCACATTTCAGCAGCACCTTGGGGTGCAGGGCTCCTCACAGCCAGGCTGGACATAGGTGGTGAGGTTGAGCGTCAACAGGTCGGGGGTTGGGTGGCTGGAGTTGAGCAGGAAGCAGGTGGGCACACAGGGCTGAGGAATGTGGCAAGGTGGGGGACAGTTGTCACAGCAGGTGGGCTCCAGTTGCCAAATGGTGTGTGGGCAGGTGCTGGGCAGGCAGACTCCACAGCGGCAGGACTTGGAGGAGGAGCAGATGGTGGTGGCAGGGCCGGTGGGGACGCTGCAGCAGCGGGGAACACAGCAGGCCATGGTGGTGGGGTCTGGTTGGCTTTAGTCTCCTGGAAAGATGACGTTTCTCAGGTTCAAATGCCTCTTCTTGCTCTGGGGTTCTTATATACCCTCTCCAGTGGGTGTGGGTCCAACCAGGAGGCTTCTTTCCTGGTTCTTGTTTATGTTCGTGTCCCCATTATCTTTAATTGGTCTGACATTTAGATGCCTGTAAAGAGTCTCTATTCTCCTAATTAACTTTTATTTGAGTTCGTTGCTAAATCTGAACTGATTACTCTTGCGGTTTGTCACTGGGACACAAGATTTATGAGGTATCACTAAAGGCTTCTGCTGTTACAACGCCACCGCCACCAGCAGGGACAATGGCACAGCGCAGTCTGCAGAATGCTGGTCTTCACCGCCCAGCCTTTCTTTGCTTTTTCTCGCCCTAACTGACTTATGAAGTATTTCTATTTTGAGAAGCTATACTTTAATTACTTCCTATTGTCTTTGATACATTTGAAGATCAAAATTACATCAACGGGGGAACAGTTTAATGAGTAATAGGGGAAAATTTTACAAATATTTATTATTTCAGTATCTTAGTATACAAATATTATAGATTCATTTAAAATTGGTAAAGGCAGAAAATATAAAAGCAACTAACCCATATTATTACCAGGGCAAGCCTCTATTAATGTTTTATATACATATATATATATATATATGATAGAATCATTTTTGAATATTTGCATTTCTGGAATACTGTATAAGATCTATAACTTAGCTTTCACTTAAACATATATATCCATTATTTTGCATCTCTAGGTGGGTACTTTTAGTGACGTTTTTAACGATTCCCAGTGTTCACCATGCTGTTGCACTTCTAGGGCACTTTACGATTTCATTTTATCAGTCATTTGCTTTGTCTCCCCCTTTTTTTTTTGATAACTGCAGCAATCAAGAGCAACTATATATGAATCTTCATGCACATTTCTGATTCAGAAACAGAAATAATTACCAGATGGAGTTATAGAGACAACTATTAATTCCAGTATTTTTAAGGCCATTGATATTTATTATTTTACTGCTCTACAGTATTTTTCTGCTTACCTATTCCTGTCACCTGTGTTGAATTGAAAATTCCTGTTTCCCTATATGTTTTGTAAGTATTTCAAAAGTGTTTGCCAGTTTTCCACATGAAAAGTTACAGCTCATTATTGTATTTGTTCTCCATTCATAGCAAGTTAGGTTGGCACATCTTTGATCACCCTGTATCGTACCTGTATTGTACCCGCATCACTCTTGGTCCACACCTGCATTCACCTTCCCTCAGCAATTGGCTTACTTTACTTTCTTTATGCTAATTGGGGTCAGTTAATTTTTAAATACGTTTACATGGATTAAATGAAAGGATAAGTTAAGATTACAATGCTAGACTCCAAGTAAAATTGTTAACAATAGAAAAAAGTATAAGGGCCTGAACTAGATTGATTGGTTCCACGTTCTTTGTCCTTCCCTCTTGAGTTATGTTCTTTAATCCAAAATCAAATGTAACCACGTTAGGAAAGACTTGAGCTCTAGTTTCGGTATTCTGTTTAGACTTCAGACATAGTTCAGTGCTTAGGAGCAAGCACGGGGTATGCTCCCGGTCAGGGTTATCCTTATGGGTTAACTGAAACATTTCCAATCAGTTTGGGCTCACTTATTCTTTAAGCCACCCTCTTCCCTCCTCCCCTAAGGTACCTGTCTATCAGGGTATGATGGGTGTGTCTACGTTTAGGGGACAGGGATGTGGAACCAAGGGGGCCATGTTAGGAGCTAGAAGTACTCTCTATTGGCCCTGGAACTACTGGTTACTTCCCTGGTTATTTCAAGCAATTTACTTTTTGAAACTTTGTCACTTTTTTCTGCAAAGCGAAGGTGATAGTATCCATGTTTCCTCACTTAGAAGATAATTGTGAGCCCCGCTGGAGATGAAAGAGTTTAAAGTGCATGGACAACCAGAACGCCCTGTGCAAAGATGAATTATTATGATATATTGAAGTAAGTTGCAGATCCATCTCAAGGGAAAGTTAAAAGAAACACAGTCAAAAGAAGGAGGAGAAGCCAAGAGAGAGGCCTTAGATGAGGCAACAAGCATTCGTCTTGAAAGCTCACACCCGCTAAGTAAGTAAATGTTAACCTCATGAGTAAAGTGCTTGGCACGGAAATCAATACATTGAAAAATTTTAAGTATTTTCTATGCGTTTCCTCGAAAGGGGATTTGTGACATCTGGTGTTCCAGATTTGTCAGTGAACAAAATGCTGCCAAATTGCACACTCTACTTCTTAGGACAGATAAGTAGATAAGTATATTTCATTCGTGTGTGTGTGTGTGTGTGTGTGTGTGTATGTGCTGGTGTGCATGTGTTCATGTGCATGTGGAGGCTAGAGGACAACCTCTAATGTCATTCCTCAGGTGCCATCTACCTTTTCTTTTTTGAGACAGGATCTCTCACTGGCCTGGAGCTCCCTAGGTAGGCTATTGACTGGTCAGCGAGCCCCAAAGATCCTCGTCTCCAGCTCTTCAGCACTGGGATTGCAAGCATGTGCTACAACACCCAGCTTTTTTATGAGGCTCAAATTTAAGTCCTTGTGCTTTTAAGACAAACAATTTGGCCAGGTGTGGTGGCACACCCCTTTATTCCCAGAGCTTGGGAGGCAGAGTCGGGCGGATCTCTGTGAGTTTAAGTCCAGCCTGGTCTACATAGCGAGTTCCAGGCCAGCTGGGGCTACAGAGAGAGACCCTGTCTCAAAAAAAAAAGAAAAAAAAGACAATGTACCAAGCTATCTCCCTAGCCTTATTTCATTCATTTAAAAATCAATTAAATAGTCATTTATTGAGCAATTAATGATGAACACTGATAAACGTCAGCTACAGAACAGTGAACAAATAAACTTTATCTCTGTCCTCATGAAATTTATAGTCTGACTTTATAATTTTTATTAATTTATGTTATAAATTGCTGATATTATACATTATAATCAGAAGGGTAAAGATTAGGTTCTAAGAACAAAATAAAATGTAGAATGAAGTTACTTTGACTTTTTCAGGAAACACTGTAAAGACAATTGGTTTTCATGGCAGAAAGATATCAAACTCTTATTTGGAATGCGATGTTCCTTTGTATCCAACAGAAAAGATTCAGAGAATTATGATGATTAATGTAAACAACATGCATCTATAGTTATACAGAAAGATTTAAGGTTATATGAATAGACTAGAAACAGTTATAAAATGACAAGTACACGATGACAATCTTTTCTATTGACAATACTTTATGAAAATCCACTTTCCCTACAGTGGCCCAAGAGACCCAGAAACTACTGTCCTTTCCTTCTAAATGAAGATAGTGAGTGATATCTAGGGAGTATGACAGTTGTCTTTAGGTGAGCTGGTGACTCACTTCTTAAAAACTAAATACAGGATCCAGTGGCACTGAACTACTCTTTATGTGGTTGAAAAGGGAACCTCAAATCATGTGTCAGGAATATGAAAAGTATTTTATTTCTAAAACCAAAGGGTCTCTTTTTCCTTTATGCTAATTGAGGAAAAACAGAGTGATTCTTGATTAAAAGGTTGAAGGTCTGCTTTATGGCTTCCAAGTTTTGTTCACTCAGAGCTGACTCACCAAAAGCCTGTAGGGATCCTCTGGGAAATCCCACTCTTGATGACACTGATCAGCCTTGGAGGACATTTTAAAACATTTTAAAGCAGAAGCTTTCAGGCCACCGGAAGCTTGCACATGTGAACTTGCTGCAATGGTGGCATCTAGCACAGGACCAATGCCAACTCAATTGGACAAGGACCCAGAGTAAAGCAAGGGAAATCTGGAGTGGGCCATCCTGCTGGGAACTGTTGGAGACAGATTACTACTGGGTAGGGAGAGTAGACCTTACTTACAAGTCTAGATGAGCTAACTAGACTCCAGTGTACGAATTTGCACTGAAGGACATTTGGGTACAAATGCTTGACTAGATAGGACTTAACATGCATGACAGAATACATGAGGTCTGGTGCGGGGGGAGTGCGGGGCACAGATGAGGGAGGAGGGTCTATATTTGATTAAGAATTGTCATATGAAAAATACAAAAGCTCAATAAAAAATAAAAATCATGTTTGTTTAAGTATTTACTTCTGTTCCCTTTCCCTACCTGTTTCCCTCCACACAAACATTCTTTCGGTTTTGTACCAAAGCTTTTTCATGTTTTGAGAGTATGTTTGGAGGTTTAGTGGGGGAGCACAGCTATTCATACACCCTTGACTAAAGGATGGTCCTTCTCTATTACAGAAGATTGTCCTTTTTGACTGAGCACAGAGCTTCGAGAGGGACAAATGTGGAGCACTGGGGGAGGGAGGGGACACCTGCCTAGCCAGCCAGATCAGCCAAATCAATCCTGGCAATCAATGGGGTGACAGATGTCACAGCCAGATTACCCTCACATCCATTTTTCATATTTTGATTGATATATATATGTTATTTGTTTGTATGTGCATATATTATATAATATAGATTGTCAATATATGTATGATACACATATATTCATTCTTTGTAGGGTCATAAAAGGTAATATCTATGATGTAAAGTTAAAAATCAGCTAAGAGATTCAATCATATTTAACCAATATTTTGTTGTTGCCTGTAAGCTAATTCTAGTGATTCATTCAAACCATAACTTTTTAAAATAAAAAAGGTAAGTTATTTTGAAATGTAAGAAATCTACCCCAACAGTAACATAAATAAAGAACACACATGGATGGCCAGGGAAATAAAGTTTATTAGAAAATCCATCAGGAGATTCTTTTGCCTCTATGAAAACACTCAATATAGGAAATAAAATCTCAGAAGCAACATGACCAAGAAAATAAAAATTTAAATATTTCAATAGAATTTTTATAATAGAAGATATTCAACCATCAAATGAACCAAAATGGTTATTCAGTCCAATAGCCATAAACAAATTTCTTGGCTTTCTTGTCACTAAAGTCAAAGGTAGGGTTTTCATATCTAGGCCAT